AAGTCAAAGTCAGTGTTAAGCCTTTAAACAAGGTGCTACTCCAGCATTTAAATGATGATTGAGGTCCCTGTGGTCCCTCTGATGTCACAGCTAACATGTTCCTGCTGCAATTATCTTCATACAAACTGAAGCAGTCCAGCAGCAGCACACTGGGTCTGCATTCAATCTCTCAGCTACAATAAATCTACAGACATACAGTTCACTGGTCTTTAGAGCAATGTGCACTGTATCTGCACACTATCCAAGCTGTCACAACCCAGATATAAGCATTTGACTATAAATAACCTGATTAAATTGGTCAGTTACTTTTAGTTTTCAAACAAAATAACACTGAAACATCTTGTTTTGCACCCCAAAATACTCTTGGAGTGGTGAAAACGAGACAGATAGACAGTTATGCATTATTTAGATGTCTTTCAAAAGGAGACAAACAGACGGGTTCTTACCTGTGGGGTCAAACTCATGCGAGGGGGGGACTGACGCCTTGTCGCTTTTGGGCTTTTTGTCTGGGGGATGGTCCTTGCTGAGAATACTTCCTGTCCTGTGCACACATACACACAAATGGGGAAAAAAGGGTCACCGTCACTGCCACATCGTGCTATTCTTATCCAGAAGCACACAAAAACTAGACAGGAAATGTGGATCCACTTACAAAAGGTCACACTCATGCCCCCCGTCCAAAAACAGGCCCAGAGACAGCAGACAAAACATTTCTGACCAACACAATGCAAACTACTGTTGACTATGAATTTGACGATTATAGAGAGCTATCGTGACTAGGGGTGGGTCAGGATGATCAACTAGTTGCCCATATACCAATATACCTTATATATATATAAGGGGGTTGGGAAAGGTCCGCTAGCCGGGACAGTGCTACATGTCGGCACGCTGCCCACAAGGCTATTGGCGCCAACATATTGTGTAAAATTATCATTATTATTATTTTTTTTTTAATTGTTTCTGTCCCTACGACTGCAATTATTTAGGTATTTTTGCACACTTAATGCAATTATCTTCCCATCTGTCACAAAAATATAAAGGGATAGTTCATCCAAAAATTAAAATTCTGTCATTAATTACTCACCCTCATGTCGTTCCAAACCTGTAAAAACTTCGTTCATCTTTAGAACACAAATTAAGATATTTTTGATGAAATCCGAGAGCTTTCTGACTCTGACATAGACAGCAACGCAACTGACACGTTCGAGGCCCAGAGAGGTAGTAAGGACATCATTAAAATAGTCCATGTGACATCAGTGGTTCAACCTTAATTATATGAAGCTACGAGAATACTGTTGTGCTCAAAGAAAACAAAAATAATGACTTCATTCAACGATTTTTCTAGGGCTGCCCCCTAATAGTTGACTAACTGTTAGTCGACCAGAAGAGGCTTGATCGACCAAAATTTTATTAGTCGGTAAGTCGCAGAAAAAAAAATCCCCAGGAAGTGGCAAAGTCACACAGTCCATGACGAACAGATCGTTAACGACTGGTCTATGTGGTAATACAGTACATCGGGCAGGACATCCAAATGCTCGTCTATCATTCATAGACCTCAAATATTGCTTTTTATCTGAAATATGTTAGTAACAGCAACTTTACATGGCCGCTCAATCTAATGTTAACCTAGAGAAATGAGCGCTATAGTGTCTGTTCGGAGCGAGGAAGCTGAACAGCAGCAATCACTGCAGGACAGATGGAGGCGTCGGTGCGGTCACTTGCTCCTAAAATACTCCCTCATTTTTGGTCATACAGATAAAAGTAATACATCTTTCGAATCTGAAAAGACTCAGGGTTTCTGCAGACTTGAACAAGTTAAATTTAAGACTTTTTAAGACCTTTTTAATACCACCTTATATGAAATTTAAGACCTAAACCTGTAATGGAAATACACATTTTATTATATACATATACAGTGGGTACGGAAAGTATTCAGACCCCCTTAAAATTTTCACTCTTTGTTATATTGCAGCCATTTGCTAAAATCATTTAAGTTAATTTTTTTTCCTCATTAATGTACACACAGCACCCCATATTGACAGAAAAACACAGAATTGTTGACATTTTTGCAGATTTATTAAAAAAGAAAAACTGAAATATCACATGGTCCTAAGTATTCAGACCCTTTGCTGTGACACTCATATATTTAACTCAGGTGCTGTCCATTTCTTCTGATCATCCTTGAGATGGTTCTACACCTTCATTTGAGTCCAGCTGTGGTTGATTATACTGATTGGACTTGATTAGGAAACCCACACCCCTGTCTATATAAGACCTTACAGCTCACAGTGCATGTCAGAGCAAATGAGAATCATGAGGTCAAAAGGAACTGCCTGAAGAGCTCAGAGACAGAATTGTGGCAAGGCACAGATCTGGCCAAGGTTACAAAAAAAATTCTGCTGCACTTAAGGTTCCCAAGAGCACAGTGGCCTCCATAATCCTTAAATGAAAGACGTTTGGGACGACCAGAACCCTTCCTAGAGCTGGCCGTCCGGCCAAACTGAGCTATCGGGGGAGAAGAGCCTTGATGAGAGAGGTAAAGAAGAACCCAAAGATCACTGTGGCTGAGCGCCAGAGATGCAGTCGGGAGATGGGAGAAAGTTGTAGAAAGTCAACCATCACTGCAGCCCTCCACCAGTCGGGGCTTTATGGCAGAGTGGCCCGACGGAAGCCTCTCCTCAGTGCAAGACACATGAAAAAACACCTGAAGGACTCCAAGATGGTGAGAAATAAGATTATCTGGTCGGATGAGACCAAGATAGAACTTTTTGGCCTTAATTCTAAGCGGTATGTGTGGAGAAAACCAGGCACTGCTCATCACCTGTCCAATACAGTCCCAACAGTGAAGCATGGTGGTGGCAGCATCATGCTGTGGGGGTGTTTTTCAGCTGCAGGGACAGGACGACTGGTTGCAATCAAGGGAAAGATGAATGCGGCCAAGTACAGGGATATCCTAGACGAAAACCTTCTCCAGAGTGCTCAGGACCTCAGACTGGGCCAAAGGTTTACCTTCCAACAAGACAATGACCCTAAGCACACAGCTAAAATAACGAAGGAGTGGCTTCACAACAACTCTGTGACTGTTCTTGAATGGCCCAGCCAGAGCCCTGACTTAAACCAAATTGAGCATCTCTGGAGAGACCTAAAAATGGCTGTCCACCAACGTTTACCATCCAACCTGACAGAACTGGAGAGGATCTGCAAGGAAGAATGGCAGAGGATCCCCAAATCCAGATGTGAAAAACTTGTTGCATCGTGAAAAATTTAAGGGGTCTGAATACTTTCCGTACCCACTATAGATATATTTTTTAAATATCATAAATTTCAATAAGTTTTAGGGGTTTAACAGCACATGACATTTTAAAACCTGAACCAAGCTTGGCATGAGGCTTTTTTTTTTCGTTATGTGGCAAAATATGAACATTATTTTTTAAACAGACATTAAAAACACTCATCAGCATAGGAGAAGTTTTAGTCATTGAATTTCTGAATGGTATTTAAATCCATCTTGAAACAAAAATTAATAGAACAAGACAAAAACTTTTAATAAAATAAAAAAAACAGCATCATAACCAATTCCCATTTATCTCAACAACAGTTACTCTGCTAACTAGTCGATTTTAAATACATGCAGTTTTGCACTTGACCTGCATCTCTCTTCTTCTATTCTCTCTGACTCACACTGAGCACACGCATTTAATCAGTGAATACGAATAAGACATTTGGGCTTTTACCAAGCAAATAAAATCAGTATCAACAAAATTCATCTTTGCAATCCAGACATAAACTGCACCTGAAGTGGCATTTAGATGTGTTTACACGCTGTTTAATGCAGAACATTAATGCATTTAACCTGCAGTTACAAATGCATAAATAATGTTTTGATATATTAAACATAAAACATTGAATACTGATATTTGAAATAATAAAAAAAAATGAAAAGATA